ATGGGGCTAGCCAGCAGGCAGCCCCCACACTTTAGTACCCTTGTGCCCCAGCCACCCCCCTACACATGCATTGAGTTTGCTCAGTGAAATGATTAAATGCATTTCATATAACCACTAGAGACAGATGTAATAGGCCTTGGTCATTGGTATGGTTACCTAAGTGGAAATGGTTTTCTCTCTTATTACAAATCTCTTGAATCATCTAGTCCCACTAAAAAGTTACTGTATGTTCATAAAATAGGAATATACATTAACAAAAAGATGCATTAGAATTTATTCCTTTACTTAAAAATAATTCTAATTTTAAGAATGTCTATTTTAATATAATTTTCCTGTTTCCCCTTGTTTACACAGACACATTGGGAACCTCTCCAGGGACATGAGAGACAGCATAGTGGCTGTGATTGATCCATAATTTATCTATTTGAATCTCATTCTGCAAATCGTCAATTTCTATTAACTTTAATTAAAGCTTATGGGAGTCCCAAATATTAAGAGCTTAAAGAATCTTTCCTTTCGGTCTTTTGTTTGTTTTTTGTCTTTTGTTGAAAAAATGCTCAAGATTGCATGTGTTCCACTTCACTGATGGTCTTGATGATGTCAGTACTCATGCAAATAAGGAACTCACATATTGACTATCATCATTTCTAATCCCACCCAGAAAGGATGTGGAACTCAGGGTGGGTCTATCATGTAATTCAACAGTGGAACTGCAGCTTATGTACCCATACCTGAATGAGCTAGTTTAAGCTAGCTTAGGTCTTCAAAACAGTGTAGCTACAGAAGCACAGAACTCAGTCCCAGCTAGCCATCCAAATACTTACTCAGGATTAGAGACAGATTTTGAAGCTAGCTATACAAATAGCAATCACACTCATGAACACCTCATGCCTCCCGAGGCTGGGGGGATATGGAGACCACCCACAGGTGGCGGCGGCAGCAGTGGGGGTGTGGTGAGTGCCAACCAGGGGTTGGCAACCACTCATGGACGCTGCCAGCAGCATTGGCAGAGGCCAGTGGTGATTGGGGACTGCCCGCAGATGCTGTCAACAATGTTGGTGGTGGGGCTGGGGGTAGCGAGCGGCAACCTCCCACAGGCACTGCCAGCCAGTCTCAGGGGGTGCACCGCCAATCTCAGGGGGTACACGTGCATTGCCATTGATCACACTACTTTGTTGAGTGTGCCTCAGTGGTTAAACATGAGCAGGCATCTGAGCACTGCCTATATCAATGTAATCCAGCTACTACGATTTTCCTGGTGCAGCAAAAATTAGAAACTTTAGGAAAAAATGGGGGTCAAGGTAGAAAAGAACAACTGACCAATAAATGTGTCTTCTGTTGTATCACTGAGTATGTATACATAGACTTACGTATAAGGAAAAAAAATATTCAGCATAGTCAAATTTGAGCCATAAAGGTAAAAGTTGTAGATCAGGGGTGGGCAATTATTTTGGACAGAGGGCTGCTTACTGAGTTTTGGGAAGCCATTGAGGGCCATATGACAGGCAGATAAATATTAATTTTCCAAATTTTTATGGGCCCCGTGGGCCGGAAAGAATGGCCTGGTGGGCTGCATTGGCCCGCGGGCTGCATTTTCCCCACCCCTGCTGTAGATACACTGCTAACAGCTGTAGTCCTTTAACTAATTAAAGGTTTGATTTTCCTTTCATCTTGAAGGGGGTCTTTTTCTGAGCCAAGAGACTGCCACACTGAATGTCAGATAAACACTTAAATAGCATCAAAATATGTACAGAATTATTTGTGCATGGTAATCAGTAATCCCAGAAACAGACCCTAGACTTCAGAAATCAGTCTTTGTCTTTTTAAATTCTAGTCACAGCAAAGATGCTTACATTGTCTATGATATTAAAGACTGCATAGGCAGCTCCTCTTGCATTAGCAAACGCCTCCATGCTTGGTGCAGTTTGTCCAACACTAAAAGCTCCAACTAATATAGAAAAAAAGACCTAAAGGAAAATAAAAATCACAAAAATATCACCAGGGTTTTCAGTCGCCTGCTATTAAATAACTATATTTAAATATCTATGAATAAAAGTTAATATTGGTCCAAAAGCTTTTATATCTGTTATACAAATTCAAAAAAGCAATGAAGATAAGGGCAGTCAGGCAAAAAATAAGGGTTGAGAGGAAGACAAGGAACTTGATAAGAATCAATTGATAATCATAGTCTTTACATGATGACCACAAGATACAAGTTGTATAATGGTTGGAACAAGGTAGAAATTATGTGAATGGTGTTTAACTCTTCTCAGAGATGTATACTGTCTAAAACTGATCCATAGGAGGACCCTCTACACCCTAAGAAGGATAAAAATAATCAGTATATTAAAAGACAAGTTACACTGAGAATGCAGATTAAGGGTGGTGTTATAGGTTACCTTTAAACCAACATAAACACACTTAAAATGGAAGCACTCATCCAGTAAAGGGTATTTACTCATGTTAAGTATCCTCTAAATGTTTTGAAGTTATGCCACTGCAGGTGAGGGTTATCTTTGATCTGTTTTACCCAGGTCATTCCAGGGTATCATTAGTCTGCTTCAGGGATATAAACGCTCTGGGGATTTATACATATGCTCCAGGAATGTGTGTCTGTGTGTGTCTGTGTCTGTGTGTGTGGGGGGGGGAGGGTTCTTTAATTAGAGCAGCTTCAAGAGCCACTCTAATTAAAGCACCTGGAGCATCGCATGTATCAGCGTCCCAGCCCCCAAAAATGATGCTGGGGGTTCTTTAACTAAAACTTGTTAAACAAGCTTTAGCTAAAGTGCTCCTGCTGCCATTTTTCAGTGCCAGTATGCTGATACACATGATGCTGGAGTCTGCTGGATGGTAGTAATTACCATGCTCCAGCAGACTCAGTTAAGCAAGTCAGCTTCAACATGCTGTAATTACAGCATGTCCGAGCAGCCTCCCTGCAAATGTATAGGCACCCTCTGTTTTCATTCCTCCAGCATCCCAGGATGCACCATTTCCAGCTGTTCCCACTTCTTTGTTCTGCAAGCAAACTTTCAACCCTTCTGAACTCTACTGCCCATGCGGGTGGTGCTGGCCCAAGCCAACAGCTCCTGCTGCCCTCAGCAGGTGTGACCTCAGCACACCCTGTCCATTCAGAGAAGCCAAGTGCAGCTTACCAGTTTGCTTCTTGCTCCAGCACCTCAGTGCTTAAGCAAGCAGCAATAGCAATCCTACTACCTACCTCCATGAAGAGAATGAGCCAAAGAATGAAAACTATTCTCAGCTGGGTCTCAGTTCTGCTCAGGTGAGGCATACATACAGCAAGTCTGCAGGGTCTCAGCTATACCCTGTTGTGCATACTAACCCAATCCCCCCCACCAATTCAATCACAATTCAGTGAAACACATGCAAGATTTTGGTCCTTCTTATTATTCTTTTCACTTTTTCTCTTTACTTCTTTCCTCTGCCTGTTCATTTCACACATTTTTTAATGACTTTACCCCTCCCATCCATGGCACTGGCTGGCTCTTGCTGACTGTGGAGTGAAAGAAACCACAGCCCCCACGGTGGTTACTTTGCCTCTAAGCTACATGCCATCCTCATGTCTTCTCTCCCACCCCAGAGGAGGAATAGAGCTCTGGCTCCTATTCAAACCCTTGCTCACCA